CTTTATTATAGAACCCTTTTTAAGGGTGTATGGTGCCTCTTTATCTTCTTGGCCATAAGAAAATTTGCATTTTGGGATAACTCTGGTTCATTTACAGTTGCCAAATAATTCTGTAAAAAAAAAGAAGATATATTAATAATATGTTTTATTACATTATCATGACAAAACAGACACTGTTTTATTGAGATAACATTTGCTGTGTCGTGATAATGACATAAACTCGAGATCTCTTATAATTTTAGTTCTTTTAGTTCCCTGGAGAGCCTTCCTGTACATGGTAAACACCTACAGGAAGGTTCTCCAGGGAACTAAACGCTGTTATTCTATGACATTACTCTAAAGAACCTTTTTGTCATGTTTTATTTTTATGTTTAAGGCAGTCTCTTGGCACTTATCATTCTAGTCACACTTAAAATAAAACATCGTTTTTACATCCAAATACCCAACAGCATCCTAAAAACTACTGGCCAATAACGAAAGGTTCATTGACAGTGACCTGGTTCTACATTGTCAAATATGAGCTGGAAATTAAGCTCATTCTTAAAGCATTTTGCCTGTCTTTGATAATGTTGTATACCCAGACAAAAATGGATCGAGGTATAAATGGATATATGTGGACATATAGAGGTAACAGAATGTATCGAGGTAATGCATTTCATCGCAGTCATAGCAAAACCTCACATTTCTGAGATAGTAACTTTACAGAAAAAAGTAAATAACTACCTTTACTATAGTGTATGTTAATGTAGGTAGATTTTATTCCAAGTAATTTTGGTTCATTCATCATGAAATGTTCACACCCTATGAAAGGCAGCTTGTGGTTTCAAATGACAGAAAAAAATAAATAAAAACAGAGATGTGAGGTGTTGATATGACAATGACGATATGAACAAAATGTGTTTTGGCACATGTGATTGTGACAGAGAGCAGCTCTGAGGTCCAGTGCGTGACTGGGAGATAACCCTGAGGTCACAGGTTCATCCTGTGTGTAATGTAGAGTTGGTGTGATGGCGGACGTTTTGCTGTGTGTGTGACTTGGCTGCAGTTTTCCATACGACCACAGAGAATAAGAGCCATGAATACACACAGACCCATGGTTAAGACGCACCAGCTCAGGTGCTACATGTTTATACTGCTGCTGGCCAAACGCCCCCTGATTAATGACCATCACATCCATGTCTGAAAAAGCATGCTGTTTGTTTTGGAAAACAGAAGCAGCTTTCCTGCGCTCCTTCATACATTTCCCACCATACAGTATTCTGGACACAGCACGGGTGAGGCACGGAGGCTTGGCTGGACCAAGTGTCTGGAGAGGTGATGTGCCCTGGACATAACCCCAATGTTTCAATTTACAGTTTACACATGATGCAATGTAGTGTCGCCCCAAGAAAAGGGAAAAAATGTATCAGTTAAATCAGTTTCTTTAATTAGTTTGTTGTCTTCAGAACGAGGTGATTGAACTATTTCCTCAACAAATGTTACCAGATGTTTAAGGGCCCATATTCTACTATCCTATTTCTTTATATAAATTATTTTTCCCCAGATGCCCATTTATAAAGTTTATGTGTTTTGAACTGAAAAAAATTGTAATGCATTTTTAGACGGTCATTTTCAAGCCTTTCTTTAGCTCTTAGAATTAAACGGGCTGTTTTTATTACAGTAACTTTAGGATAGATTCATGTAAATGCCCTCTGTTCTGATTGGCTGCCCTTTTTTTGTGCCTCATTAAAAAAAGCAGTCAGGGCCGAAACACTCTTTATACCTTGAGGGCGAATGGGCGGAGCCAGACTATTGTGGGCTGGACATGTGGATATATACGGAAGCCTTACAGGGCCATGGATTCACATGTTTTTCCTCCTCTTTTCAATGATAATGAGTTATCTTCATTTATTTCTATTTATATCATCACAACACAATAATTGTTATCTTGATAAAACAACGTGTGATGTCATGATTATGATATAAATAACTCATGATCTCGAGAAAACTTATGACAATATGCTTGGTCAATTCATGGTCATTTAGGGCTTTCGTAGATACATGCTTTCTTGACATCACAAAAATAGTGAATTCAAAATGGGCTGTTTTTACAGTTATTCCATGTAGTTTCTGAAACTTCAACAGTGTTTACAAGCAACATCAAACTCTTTCTAAAAAGTGAGGAAAACTCAGTTTCCCATGATATGGGCCCTTTAAATACTCTGAAAACCTCAGGTTCCCTGAATCGTGGATTTGACAGAGTGGCTGTGTTGAATTATGGATGCCTCGCATAAAAGAATAGAGAATTGTTTGTAATGTCTGTCTGAATCTTTCACATTATTATTTACTGAGAAGCAAGCCTTCAGAATAGAGCTGTTGCCTGTAATCTAGTCAAAATAAATAAATAGCTAAATAAAACAATTACATGGTTACAAACTGGTAATGAAATTAGCTTGCTCCTGTTTTGTATTTGCTTTTAAAACATGCATCATAAAAGGAATTTTGCATAACCACATAAAGCTAAAATGATTTCCTCTAACATTGTCCCCCACATGCCGAATGTAAAGGGCTATTAGAACCACATTATTGTGGATATCCAGCTCATTATTCACAAGATATAATTTATCTGAACTCTTCAGGGGGAAAAATGCTAAAATGGTTAGTGGCCTGTCTCACAATGGGGAAATTTGCAATTGACTACATGCGGAAAGGTTAAATGCCAAGTTCCACTTATTAAAGCCAGAAAACTTTATATTGTTTTATTCAGCAAGCTTAGAGGGTATCTGGCATAAATCAGGCTGTTGTTACCATTAAACAGCTTTCTAAAATGCACATATTGTTACTATGAAAACAAGCAGGAAGACCATTAACAGGGCCCATAATGTGCTAATTAACAACAGAGCCATTTCAGGCAGTATGGGAACATGAAGGCATTGTGGGTAATTAACTGTTTGCACACAGACTTGATTTATGTTTCCCTCCTGCAATAGACTAGCAACTAGGGGCTCAGCAGGTACCATCTCTCCACTCAGAGGAGTGTGTGTAGGGACATACAGACCCTCGTGCTGAAATCAAAGATCGAGCGGCCGGTCTCATTGCCTGAAAATGAAGATTTTAATTTCAAGTGTTTTCTGGACTGGTTTAGAGAACATATGTGATACGGAAAGGCATCCAGATAAAGCTTAACCGAGGTTTAACCTGGGAGACGGCCACAAGTTTAGATCTAGCCGAACTAAAAGCGAAAGGTTTGGCTTCACAAGGCTGACACGACGCACCCAATCTGAGTGAACTCTCAGTAACCTGTGGAGGCAATCCAGGCAGATGCTGGCTAGGAGCTCCGCTGCTTTGGTCTGCTATCTGCAGGCTCCAGATTTCTGAGCTAAAAAGCAGCAGAGCATCTTTCTGCTGCTGACTGTACACATTGAAGACTGAGCCTTATCTGTCCAGTCTAGCTGATTCTTTTATCACAGCCAAAGGTGCATAATTAAAACAAACTAATCTTGTTCTTTCAGTAAAGTATTATAGCATCAGTTCCTTTAGTTATCTTAGGTTCATTAAAATAGACTACAAATAGGCATTGCTACTATTTTTAAATACTAAAAATACAACATAAAATTTATCTTCAAGAATTTTAAATAAACACCTTATACTTAATATAAAACCCATTTTTTCAATCCCAACATGAGCGTATTACAAAGTGAATTACAATATGCGACGAAATTTTTATGTGTAATATCACATTTATAATGCAGCACAGATGTCATTCTACTGTAGACGTAACTGCTTTGTATATACAGGCTGTTATGATGTATTGCTGTGGGTCTGTCAGACCACTGCTATTGGGTAATCACTCCATTCAGCAATATAAAGAGCAGGAATAGAAATTTTGTACTACTCCAAATCCAGCCGGAGCTAAACCAGTCTTCATTCTCTCTGAAGCCTGTATGACCTTGATTGTGTAGCTGACTCCAGTGCTTGGCTCTTAGCAAACTGGACACAGGTTCTTTGAGCAGGAGATAGCTGAGTATATTAAAAAGGATGAATGCTGTGCTAGCAGAAGTTATTTTGAGTGCTTCATGTACACACAAGATGACAGCGATCAGCTAGACATTAGAAATGGACAGGGTGTGTCATGAATTAAGCAGAAATAATTACTAAAGAATTTTAAAGTTGAATTGCTTTTAATTTCATCAACTATTATAGACTGCTTAATTTTGACAACAGACAATGATTAAACTAAAAGATTTACACATAAATATTCTGATTTTTTTCATTCAGTGCACTTAGAACATGTATTGACACAGATATGTGGTGGAGTCTAGGCCCCTGTTCTTTTATTAACCCTGAATGCAGGTAGTGCTCATTAGCCCAGCTGGACACTGCCAACCCTCCTCATCCCACACACTCAGTACAGGAGCACAAGAGCGCTACCTTCACCTACATCACCAGTGCCTTTAAAACTGCTTATATATATATATATATATATATATATATATATATATATATATATATATATATATATATACATATAAAATTATTTATAAAAAAATAAAACATTAAATACAGTTATAAAACTGGTTTGGTTGAAGCTTTAAAGCATTTGTTCTTTTTATTTTTCTTTTTTTTTCTTTTTTGTAATAAAATGCATTTAAAATAAAATGAATTTCAATAAAATAAAAAAATAAACGTGTCGATTTCCGGGTATATTTTTAAAGTTTCATAAATAAATAAACATTTTTCGATAAATTATTTTGTATTTTCTTTAATCGTGAGCAGACTGATTTTTCTTTTTTTTATTTTTTTTTAAATAAAAGCCGTAAAAATGTACTGAACCCAGCTCATCACAGAAGGAGGGAAAAAAGGAATCGAATTTAATTGCCTTGTTGGAGAAGTCCGCCCATGTGTGTATGTTCGAGACAGTCCGAGTGTCTATTTATCTATCAGTCTTTCTTTTCTTTCCTTCTTTCTGTGCAGCTTCCGCCTGATCCGCCATTCCAGCACTAAAGCAAACAGGGCGACTCTCCTAAACTCTGCTGCTCTTCACCAAAGCTGCCTTTTCCTTCCCTGCTTTTCAAACTGCTCTCTCGTCTGCCCGTTTCCTCAAGCCTTTTTTTCTCTCCCTCTCTCCACACTCACTCGCTCACACTCTCTCTCCCTCTCTCTCTCTCCAATACTTTCCTGCCCCTCTCTATTTATGAAAACGTCACTTCAAGTCCCTCCCTGTTTGAATCTCATTAGTTTCTTGTGTGTTTCTCCCTGTCAATAATCCCGAATCCAGACTCTCTCTATTTCCATCCCTCTCTATCTGTCAATCAGCGCCGCCTTTGAACTGAAAACCACTCCGACCAACTTCAACTCACTCAATCCGAGCGCCTCGGCTCCATCTCCGGCTTCTTTTTCTGCCAAGATCCCCCCTCTTTTTTAGTTTTCTACTAACCGCCAGTGCTCGGGGAAACGCCAGGGCAGACCCCTAAAAACTCCAGAAAAAAAATCCTCGGGACTCGGGATCGCAAAGATCAAGGCTTTAAAAACTTTGCGTTTTTCGTCCCCCAAAATTGCTCGGGAAAATGCCGCAGCTGAACGGCGGTGGAGGGGACGATCTGGGCGCGAACGATGAAATGATCTCGTTCAAAGACGAAGGAGAGCAGGAAGAAAAGATTTCGGAGAACTCTTCAGCAGAAAGGGATTTAGCAGATGTCAAGTCTTCTCTCGTGAACGAGTCAGAGACGAACCAAAACAGCTCTTCGGACTCCGAGGTAAGCGACGAAAAACTCTCGCCACTGCAGCGGCGCTCCGTTTTACTCCACTTACTGCACTTTTCTGTTGCTCTGTATGTAAGTTAGGTTAACTGCTAACGTGAAGCGCCCAATGTCCTGCCTTTGTGCCTTTGCTAGCTGCTTTAATAAAAGTAAGCTTAGCTGCCGCTTTTGCCAGCGTGTTTGTTAACCGCTGTTCCCTGTGTTTGGTTGCATTTGAAGGCGGAAAGACGGCCTCCGCCTAGGTCGGAAACTTTCAGAGACAAAACACGAGAAAGTTTAGAGGAGGGTGAGTGACTCTGCTCTTTTCTCTAAAATGCTCTTGCTCTACACTTTTCCTTACATGAGAGAAGTACACGAGGCGTAAGCCACGGCTTATAGCCGTGCTTCTGAAATGCACTCACAGAGACAGACAGAGAGAGAGAGGAAAAAAGTTGTTTGAAGGTGCCTAAAAAAAGTTTTCTTCTTTTCCCCCCCGCCATGTTAGCTGCGAAAAGGCAAGATGGAGGGCTGTTCAAGAGCCCCCCGTACCCGGGCTATCCATTTATAATGATCCCCGATCTAACGAGCCCCTACCTCCCCAACGGATCGCTCTCTCCGACGGCACGCACAGTAAGTGGCTTTATTTCACCCGTTTCTGTTCACGCACACATACAGCACACGCGCTCGGACACGGCGCGAGCTCCGGAGAGCGAGCCGCCCGAGCAGCTTAGCACGAGGAGGAGCGCAGGAGCACAACTTTGGGAAGTTGTGGCCGAGGCAGCGTTCAGGCTCCCGCTGTAGGGCATTGGTGCTGCAGGCTCAGGCTCACTCAGCACTGCCTGCTCTGAAGCGCCTCTGCTCCACTCAGGAAAACAAAATGAAAAAAAAAAACAAGACAAAAAAAAGGCAAAATCAAACCTGTATATATTATACATAATATAAAAAACACCTACACTTCACGCTCACTTTACATACACATTCTTATTTCATTTTATTTTTAAAAACAATTGATTTTATTTTAAAAAATTACACCATTTTCGGATCACAAAGAGGCTGAATCTAAAATATCATTTATTATGTCTGAATTTCTTTATTTATGAATTTACTATTTGCTATTATTATTATTATTATTATGTGTGTGATATATGATGATGATCATTATTATTAATAATAATATTAATAAAAAATGAAGAATTTATTGATTACTATGGTTTCTTGCTACAATGCTACAACCATATGCACAATAAGCATAATTTTATTCTATTTCTAAAATGTTTATATATATATATACATATATATATTTATATATATATATATACATATATATATGTTTGTGTGCATATATATATAGAGAGAGGGAGTGGTTGCCTCCTGTATCCTTAAAGCACAATGGCAGATAGAGACTGGTCAGCATGGGCACATTGAGCTGTTAAATGGTGATTAGGAGCCTTCAGTTCAGTGAATCTGAGACTGGCAGAATGTATGCATAACATTATACTCTCTAAATCTAACCGAGTGAAATATTCAGTAGCATATTTAAGGAAGTGTTTACACATTTAAAGTGAGTAAATATTTGCATAAAATATGCACAGCATATAAAACATTTATGTTTATATTGACAGCAGTTTGCAAAACATGATTGACCTTTTATGATGAAAGAAATAAATTCATATGCATGTGTATTTGGAATGTGGCGTGCATGTGCAGATTCACCTGTTTTGTTTTATATTTTGTTTTATTTTTGTTCTGAAAGATTAGCATTGATGATGTAATTATGCATGTCTACAGTTTTTTCCCAGTACACTCCTTTATCCCAAAGGACATTAGTGGTGCGTTAACGGGGGTAATTTTCTTAATACACAGTTGGTATTTATATTAATCATTTTAATGGCAAAGCATTGCTGTAAGATCTGCTTATCTCATGTTATGAGGTTTAAACAAATTGTAGACAAAATGAATCTGGCTCAGTGCCTGAACAGGAATTTTTATTGATTTGATTTTAGTAGTTGGTTTAAACAAAAAAAAAACAAAGCATAGTAATGGAGTGCCAGAAAATTTTAATATGCACATAAAAATGTGTAGCTGAATTACAGTTTTTAAAATGTTCGTGCATGTGTGGTATTTTAAAGACAGTCTGTTTTGTATATTAGTGAGACATGGTCTCATTGATTCACTGTTGTGTGACTGTGTCTGTCATTGCATGGCCATCGCCAGCATGCTTTCCCAAAGATACTCCTTTGTTGAATTTGGCGTTCACATGACGGTGTCTTCTATGCACCATTCTTTGCTTTCTCTTACTCACAGAACTCTTCTGGTGTATAAAACCATAGAAATTATAAAACCTGACCAATTATTATAATACCGCACCAATTATGGGGGGCTACATTCTTGTGTATACAAAAACATGCACACATATTCATCCAATGCACAAAGAAATTGTGGCCACTTAAAACACAAAAATGTATGTTCTGTGAAGAAATGGAGGAGACATCGGACACGTGTGCTTTTTTTCCTCTCTGTTGCTGGTGTTTTTTAGAGGCGGTGGTTAGTTGAGGGATGCGGTTGATCTAAAGGTTTCTCTCAGTTTGCTGCTGAACCTCAGCCTTTCTAGCTTTAGGTAAAGGACTAGGGCTTTACTGAAAAAAAAATATTTTAATAATAATGCAATTCATATATATATATATATATATATATATATTTACTGTAAGGTTATTGTGTAATATCTTCAACCATCTGTTGTCAGATATTTTATGTTAACATGCCCTCACCTAAATGCTTATTTTGATACACTTCTCGGTGAATTGCTTTATTGCTTGTGATGTTATTGTTAATCTTGTAGTGTAATGACTGTAATAGGGCCTAGCCTTGTTAGCACTGCTGTCAAGTGCATGAGCTTTACTGTCCTGTCCCCCCCTTCCCTGCTCTGTCTCTCGTTCTCCCTCTCTCCGTGAACCCCACTACCTGTGTGTTGCCTGGGCGTCCTACCCACACAGCTTTGAAGTTGAAAGCCGTTGTATTCATAAACGCATTACTTAAGTCTAGTATAAATAATTCACCTGAGCATCGATTAGCTGTCTTTCTTTTTAACAAACACACAGGGCTGAACCCTGCATGGCTGGTGCTGATGCAGTCAAACCTTTATTACCGAGCACTTGTCGGCAGTGTGTGCATCCACGGCGCCTTCGTTCTTGCGCACGCCCTCTCTTTTTGCTAAATTACAATGCACAGGAATAGCAGCATTTTTGTTTACAGTTGTACAAATTGGGCTGTTTACTGTGCCTCTGCTTTAAGTTAGAGGCGGATTTCCAGACGGCACGGCTGATGTAAGGTGCTGGTGAGAGCGGGTCGTGTGGCGTGGAGGTCGATGTCTGAAAAGTGACAAAATCTTTTGAATTTTCATAAGCCCTTGTGTCAGCTGATTTCTCCCTGAAACCCACTCGTGCAATAGTGATGAAATGCCTGTGCCTGGGCTGCAGGCTGGAGCGTGTGCCAGTGGGAAAAGGGGGGGGAGGAGGAGGGCTGGAATTAGTCTGACCTCCGAGGGCCGTAATAACGGGAAGTTTGTTTTTCCAACTAGCTCGGCCTTAAAAGGTTTATGACGGTTTGGTGGCGTTTAGCGATTTTGACATGAAGCTGCACAGCCGGAGCCTGTCCCCCCTTCTTTTCTCTTTCGTGAACGGCCCCCCTCCTCGCTCTCTGCACACAATAGCCAGTCGGCCCTCTCGGCTGGAGCGGGTCGGAGGCAGGAAGCGAAAGCGCACGGCTGTGGTGGTGGTGCGCGCGGTTGAAAAGGCAGGCTGCTGTAGACGAACATCACACCTCAACAGGTCTGAGGCAGAAGCAGAGGCAGTGCACAGGGCTGGCTTGCAGTGCGCAGGCAGGGGGCTTTATGCCCGTAAATCCTCTGGGTTTATTTACTGCCTCTCCGACTTATGAATGTTAAGATATTTGACGCCACCCCTGGCCCCATAATTCCTCAGGCCTGCAGACTTTTGGCAGGGGTTTCGAGTTTCGACGTATAATTATGCGTAGTTTAAAAAAAGAACCAGAAGAAGAAGAAGAAGAAAAAAAAAACCTGCAACACCCAGTGTCCTCTGCTCCATTTTGGAGTAAAGAAAAAGATGTTCCCTGAAATCTGTGGCAATTCCACAGCAAGCCTGGCATGCTGGATTGTGCTGTTGCACAATAGCTTTTTCCCCCCTCCTTTCTTTTCTTTGTTTCATTCTTTATGTGGTGTTCTGCCCCTGTGGATTTTTTTTTTTTTGTAAATTAAAAACAATTTGTGATTTTTTTTAACTGTTGTTTTATTGTTAACTGTAAGCTGTTTTAAATGAATTTATTCATTATGGTAAAAATGCATTCACGTCTCCTTTGTGTGGATTCGGATGAACAGATTTTAATAGACCACGGCAGTACGACAGTATCTTTCTAGCCATTTTTTACTAATACCTAGACAACAATGGCATATCATATGGATTATGTGTGTTCTGCCGCCGTGCTGAATAGCTTGTCGCGCGAGGTGCAAAAGATAGTTTAATGCGGATTTAGGGGGATAGACTCATACCTTATCAAATTGGCTTTACATGTTAATGGCTCCTAATTGCTATCCGCAGGGGGTTCACTGAGCTACGCGGCCATGTTTTGTGCTGCTCTCCACAAAATACACTCTCGGGTTTGTTTAGAAGGTTGCCATCCTTTTGTTTTGCAAATCACTTTTGTTTACAAAGAATGGCGGAAGCAAGTCTCCCTCTTCTTCTCTCCCCCTCTCTCTTTTTCTCTTTCTCTCGTTCTTTCTTCCTTTCTTTCCTTCTCCTCCTCCTGGTCTCTCTCATCCCACGCAGGAGAGAAACGGTCTCTATTTTGCTTAGGCTTGATAAACAGCCATAAAAAAGTGCAATCTGTTTTGGATTTGAGGGAGTTAAGTTGGGGAGCAAAGTTTGGCACCATTAAACTGAAACTGGGGCCTGCGAGACATTAGCGGCACACAGCACATTCTCAGGGCTTAATTAGTCCGAACTGTAATTGTTCATGGTCTGCCAATAGGAGTAATGCTCAGGAAAAGTGGAGTTGCACTAAATCGGCCCACGGTTTTTAAAACAATAAATCACTCGCATATTTGTGCCGTGATTCAGATGGAGTCTCGACCTCTCCCATCTCGACATGTGGTAAATTGTAAAGTCAATGAATCGCAGATGTAGGGGAGCGAGTGAGAGAGAGAAAGAGTACAGTAAGGTTTTGTTAGCGCCTGGCGAATGAATGGAAAAGATTTGTGCTGTAAATATTTACAGAGTTTTTTTTTTTTGCTTGCTGGGCTCAATTATCTAAAGATGATAGTAATGGCGGTGATGATGATGATGATGATGAGCTGCATCCTTTAAAAGCAGTTCAGGAAAGCAGCAAATCTCTTGTTTTCTCATTTATTATTATAATTATTCATTTTTAATGCGTTCATCACCTTTATGTGAATAAACGTTTTGTGATCTAATATCCTTTTTTAAACGTGAAGAAAATGCCTCACAGGCATGAATTATCAGTCTTTGAATTATTGCACTTTTCTGGCAGAAATATTTATTTTCACCCAAAAACTTTCACAATATGAAGAGATACCAGAGCCATAAATAATCCCCTCC